ACACCTTCTCCAATTCTCCTCCTGCACGCTTGTCCATACTCTTCCTCGTGACGCCCTTTGAGCTGTGGTGCCTTGCCTTGCAGGTGCCACCCGTCACCAGCACGTCGGCGCCGCTGGTGGGAGTTCTGTCGTCCACCCAGAACAACCGGTGCCTCTCCGCCCCCGACCTGACGGCAGAGCGGCGCCTGGTCCTCAACCCCGTGTCCTCCCTCTCCGTCCTGCACAGGCCAGAGCGCTCCATCAGCCCCGAGAGCAACGACAGCATCTCGGAGGAGCTCAACCACTTCAAGCCCATCGTCTGCTCCCCGTGCACTCCTCCCAAGAGGCTTCCTGACGGCAGAGTGCTGAGCCCTCTCATTATCAAATCCACCCCGAGGAACCTGAACCGCAGCCTGCAGAAGCCCACCACCTATGAGGCCAGCCCTAGAATACTGAAAAAATGGGAGCAGATATTTCAGGAGCGCCAGATCAAAAAGACTCTCTCTAAAGCCACCCTCACGTCCTCGGTTTCGGAACCCGGGGAGGACGTGACCGTCCCTGACGTCACCAACTGCAGCAGCTGCACTAAAGAGCAGCCGCAAGCGCAGGACGATCCCCTCGCACCCGGCACGGCAGCAGAGCCTCGCCCCGAGCTGGATTTCTTCCCTTCCGTCAGTGAAACGAAGCTGGGAAGGGGGAGTGAGAAGAGCAGAGAGTCACAGGCCTTAACAGCGGGCGCCGGCGCCGCCGAAGCAGAGGGAAGACCGAACGTCACCCCCCTGAACGCGCGAGTGTCCGAAGCCCCCGGGCTCAAAGTGAGCACGTCCACGGACAAGTCCTGCCTCAGCCTGGGCCCGAAAATGGTGGGCGGAAGGCTGGCGGGGGGCGGGGGGGAAGGCTGGCGGTCGTCGGGGCCTCGGTGCCCAGCAGCAGCCCGCTCGGAATCCCCGCCAAGACCTCGGGACAAAAGCAGCTGAAGTACCTGAACAGCAGCGAGCTGCTCAAGGTGCAGAACAGCACGTGCAGCTCCGTGGAGAACCTGCTCGGGGAGCAGCCCCCGTCGCTGAGGCGGGGCCGCAAGAGACGCTGCAAAACGAAGCACTTGGAGCACAACGGCTCCGTCAAGAGACTGAGGCACGCGGTGGGGGAGGTGGCCCTGCCTCCTCCGGAGGAGCGCCTGGTCCGGGAGGTGGAGCAGAAGCTCCAGCAAGAGGAGGAGGACAGGAGGTTGGCCCTGCACCTCCAGAGGATTTTCGACAGCGAGAACAGGACGGTGGACAGGCGGAAAGTCCGGGTCGATCGGTATCTGCTGCGGTCGAAGAGCACTCTGGGGGCCAAGTAGCACTGCTGGACGATGTTGCCTTTCTAGAGGACGATGAGGTTTACCAGATTATCTTATAGGAAAAATATTTTTTGTCATACTCCCACCCACAGCAGTTGTTTGGTTTTCATTTTAGCGGTAAGACGTTTGTAGGTCCAGTTCAGAGAGAAGCCAGAGTCCTTTCAGATTAGCAAAAAAAAAGAGAGAAGGAGAAAAAAACCCTTCAGCTTTCTGATGCCTTGGCCTGAAGCACCCGTTGTCCCCGTGAATACACTGCAATGCCTCCACAGGCAGCTGGTGGCATCTGGGTTCTCCAGCTAGGAGGGTTCTGTGAGCAGCACGGGGGTTACGGGATGAGGACCTTGTCCTTTCCTTGCCTTGCTGCTCCAATATGACAAGAGAAATCAGAGCTCCACTCACTGAAAGTAAACTTTTCCTGTTCTAGAAAGAGTCCTCTCCCCTCTGCCCAGTTCTCAGCCCATTAGTGATGTCAGTGTGTTCAACTGACCCAGCTCAGGGGGTGCTGGGGAGGATGCTGAGGTCTGTTTCTGTGAGGAACTACCAAATAGGTCCCCCCATACTACTTGTAAATGAATGGATCTCACTGTCTGCACCAGCAGTACAGATCATGAGTTGTTTGCCTTAAAGAGAAAGCTAAATGCAGTGAAGAAAGATATAAAATTGTTTGAAATTAAAAGAGATTTAGACCAGATATAAGGAAGAAATTCTTTATGTTGAGAGTGGGGAGCCCCTGTCCCAGGCTGCCCCAACAGGTGGTCGCTGCCCCATCCCTGGAACCATTCCAGGTGAGGTTGGCCAGGGCTCTGAGCAACCTGCTCTAGTTGCAGATGTCCCTGCTCCCTGCAGGGGGGTTGGGCTGGATGGCTTTGAAAGGTGCCTTCAACCCAGCCCATTCTATGAATCTAAAAAGGTAAGGATTTTACTGAAAAGCCTTATGAGAACTTGCATGTTCGTGTTAGTGGCACAGCAGAGAGCTCGGGTAGGGCAGCTGGGAGCCATGCTCTCACTGCTGTGACTCAGGCAGCAGATTTCTCCTGGTTTCTGCCCCAGGGTTTCATGTTCTTCTGCTAAAACTGAACTCTAGAAAGGGAAATGCTGGCTGGGTGATGTCAGGAAGGACGTTCTCCCTGCTGACACATACCCTGCAGGATCTCACTCACTTAAGAGAGATCTCAGCACACCTAAGACCTGCCCTTACATGTCCAGGAGCGGGGTGAGGAGGCATCCCGAGGTGTCTGACACATCCTCATCCTCTGCCAGGCACCCGACAGGCCGGAGGCAGAGCTGGGACAGGAGCCCAGCTTGTGGGGACCACGCAAGAGGCTGCCTGGCCCTGCTCGAGCTGCTCACCTATCTCCAGGTTCAAAGCACTAGGAGAGCTCAGGTGAGCAGAGCACTAGAGATTTCCACTGCCAACGGCTGAAGTCGCACACCGCAGCCTGGACCAGAGCCAGCTGAGAGCCTGGGCTTGGAGTGTCTGTTCTCTGCCCATAGAGGGCTCACAGCCCTGGAGAGCCCCTGACAGCGTGGGCTGCACCCCCAGCAGCGTGGGCAGCAGGGCAGGGAGAGGATCCTGCCCCTCTGCCCCGCTCTGGGGAGACCCCCCTGCAGTGCTGGGGCAGCTCTGGAGTCCTCAGCACAGCAGAGACAGGGACCTGCTGGAGCAGGGCCAGAGGAGCCCCAGCAATGACCCGAGGGGGGAACCCCTCTGCTGGGAGCCCAGCAGGAGAGAGTTGGGCTTGGGCAGCCTGCAGAGGAGAAGGCTCCAGCTGGGGAGACCTTCTGGGGGCCTGCCAGGACTTCCAGGGGCTTCTCAGAAAGCTGGGGAGGGACTTTTTACAAGAGCTTCTAGTGCTGGGATGAGGGGGGATGGTTTGAAACTAAAAGAGGAAGATTTAGACTGGAGAGAAGAGGGAATTTTTGGCTGCTGAGGGTGGTGAGCCCCTGGCCCCGGCTGCCCTGAGAGATGCTCACTGCCCCATCCCTGGAACCATTCCAGGGGAGGTTGGCTGGGGCTCTGAGCAACCTGCTCTAGTTGCAGATGTCCCTGCTCCCTGCAGGGGGGTTGGACTGGATGACCTTGAAAGGTCCCTTCCCACCCAAACCAGTCTGGGATTCTATGTAACCTTCAGGGGCCAGCCCGCCTCTGCGCTCTTGATGTTTCCAGCCCCTTTCCCCATCAGCCTTAACAATAATTCTTGATCATTGCCAGTAACCAGGCTCAGAGCCCATCAGCTCGACTCAGCCCGTGGAGCTGCCTTGCAGTGTATTCACGGGGGACCCTCGGTGCCTGCCGGGACCTTGCTGCAGGGTGGTGGCTGTGGGAGGTGACCAGTGGTGTGGCATGAGGGGAGGACAGAGAGCAGGTCTGAACCAACGGCTCTGACCCAAGAGAAGGGTCCTTGCCCCCTTTCCTCCCTCTTAAACCACGGTTCAATTTCTCCCTCCATCTTAAGTGCTTCAAACCAAGCCCAAACAGAACTGCTTTTCTGTTTCTCTCTCCTCATACTGGTGTAACTGCAAGGACCCTGGCGAGTTGTGTCCTAATTGAACTGGATTTAGGGGAAAAAAAAAAAAAAGAAATCTTCTATTTTAATGGATAAAATTTATATATTTTAAATACTGTATTTCAACAGATTGACACTTTGGTTTTGAGAAACCTTATAGCAATGATTCCGTAATATATCTCTTATCTCTCTCTCTCCTGAACACTCAAAGTAGATGTTTGAAGTTGTACCTCGGGCTGGCCAGACCTGGCCTCCTCAGGTACTGCTTTGACCCAAACCGAATCCTGCTCCTGTGCCTGGCTGTTGAATCAGGAGAAAATTTAGGAACTGGAGCCCTGATGGGACCTGGAAGAGACCACAGGGGGAGGTGGCGATAGTCTGGACCTGCCCTTTGCAGTGAAATCAGCTCAGGAGGGAACTTGCAGCGTTTACTCGGAACTCATGCCGTTTGTTCCCAGCATTTTGGGCTGAAGTGTGCACTTGCCAAGTGCTTTTAGGTTGATAATTATTTTTACAGATCCCCTGCCCCTTCCCTGTGGTTAATCCCTTGAGCCCAGATCAGACTTCTCTGAACAGTTTCCTTCGTTCTCTCTCTCTGAACAAGCCTACACCACAAAAAACTCAATTTACACATTGAATGTATCTTTTCTTCCCCCTCATAAAATAGATTTCGCAGTCCAACGCACCAGGCCAGTGTCTTAAAAACCTCCTTTTTAAAAGATTGCAGAACTACTTAGGGGTTTGTGTGTGAATTTCCTCTTTCTAAACCCAAGCTGGGCGGGAGCACGGGAGGCAAGGCCTGAGCTGGAGCTTATCCCCAGCCAAAACAGGGGTCCCTCGTGACCCTGGCTTCCCAAAACTTGCCTTCACTGGGCAGCCAGCTCCCCCCAACACAGAGCCCGAGTCCAGCTCAGCTCCCAGAGCATCACGCAGGGTCCCTTGTGTCCACCTCGAAGGAGACCTTTGGACGTGGCATCACAGCAGCTTTCAGGAGAGCGCCTGGGGGGGATCGAGCTTCCCTCGGGAGGTCGAGAACCTGCAGGTTTTCAGTCGGTGAGGCTGCTGGCTGCATTTCTACCTTCCCTTCTCCAGATGGCTGCTGAAAGACTGAGGAGAACGGGTCAGTTTTTAGCTGGCTCATCTAGACCCTTTTGTCGCCTTCTGAGCTGAGAGCCCCCAGCTGACACCCACCCGAGGTAGTGGTGGGTTCGAGGCTTGAGGTCAATGTGAAGCTAGGATGAATTTTTTTTTTAATTTAACACTCTGTAAGTTTGTGTAAGCTTGCACAAAAAAAAAATAATTGTATCTAATTACACTTAAAAGAGCAGGAATTCCCAGCCCCTGCCCTTTCAGGGTCAGGTATGACGCTACCTTTGCCACAGGGAATGCCAACTGAGAAGTGAAATACCTCCTG